TGGATAATGGATGGCGTTTGTGGGGCGGGCAGAGTCCAACAACAACAAGTGGTTGGGCGGAGCGGTTAACGCTTTCTGAGTCCGCTGCCGTTGTGCAGCAAATGCTGCGCCCTTTAGCAGGCCTTCGAATGCATTTTTACAGTCGCGGCGCGACTTTAATCACTACTTTGTCAGCTTTATTTTCAATGTAATTGCGTTTTGTAAACAATAATACGGCGAACTGATGGCTATCGGCTGCGCCCGTTGCCTATCGCGTTATCGATAACAGTCGGCGACACATGGTAGCCGTGCTGTAGCAGTCATCTTTCGATAGCTGCTAGAGCCCGCGCGTTTTGAATGCGAAATATGTGAAATATGGGCCTCACTCAATCCTGGTCATTATATTGCTAGTCTGTTATAAGAAATATGTTTTTCTTGATACACATCATGTGTATGCGTATGTAGCCGTTTGTTTATTAATATGAGTGGTTTTCTTCGTTCCTTATTAAACAATATATTTCACCTAGAGTGGAATTAAATTGGTTGAAAATTATCTTGCTAATTTGTAGATTCCACTCTGGCTCATCCTATTTTCCATTTTCCTTTGCGGCCTGCCACCCACGCGTTGCTCAAATTTTCATTTGTGAATCCTGCGGCCTCTGAGGCCACAACTCGTGCCACAATCAACTCAGCCTCCCGACTACCAAAGCACTTGGCCTGCCAAAATGGTAGACTCAGCCAAAGACTCTCTGCCTGCGCAATCAATTGGATTTCGGTTGTAGTTCATAAAGTGTATCTGTGCATGTCTCTGGCTGAGCTCTTGTTCCACTTTCAATTCCAACGTCCTTTTGCTCCTGCTCCTGCCTCTGCCCATTTTCATTTACGCATGCACTGAAAGAATAGCTTGATAGAAATGTTAATACTAATAAATATTTGATTTTATGCCATGAGACATACTGAACGACTTAAAATCAAATTTCTTCACATTTTTCGTATGCTTTTTATTTAAATGTTTCCTACTTTTTCTCCTCAATTGACAGTTGTTTTTTTCAGTGCCGAGAAGCTCTTTCGGTGCGGTTGACAAGGCTCAGCGGATATTCAAAATATTTCGTTATTGTTTGTGGCTGCTCCCATGCCGCTGCTCTTGCTTTGGCTGTTGCTTTTGCCATTTACCTGTGGCACGGCTTATTTTGAAAAGCCAAAAGCGCTTAAGTAGTTCATTCGGTTTCAGGCCTAAACTGGAATGGGCGATGGGGTGAGTCCTGGTGTAGATCCTTTCCACCTTTGCGGTCGCTGCGTAGCTCTACTTTTGCCGTTTCCCGCTCAAATGCTTAGCGAAATTGCGGCCGCTTTGTGTGATTCGCCTGTTTTTGCTGCGGCTTAAGCGAGGTGTTGTTTTTGGGGAGGGGTGGAGTGCCATGTATATCAAATATACTTGACTCTGTCAGGACCTGGCACTCACTTAATTTACTCGGGGTGTTTTGGGGTGGCTTGCCCTGATATCCCGGAATAAATCCTTGTTTCTGACGTGCCGCTAAGTAAGCACTTAAGAGGCAAGGACCCTATTGTTGCTGCTAATCTAAGGTTGTTCCGCTTTCTTTGGAGTTCAATTGGCAATTAGCCCGGCTGCACGAGGGACCAGGTTGCAGGACAAGCCAGTTTGCAGGTTGCAGGTCGAGTGCAGGATAATTGTGAAACTAGCCGACAGGCGCACACACAAGGACCTTGTGAACTGTCAATCCGGCAGCCACTTAGGAATCAATTTGTCCAGCGATCCGTGCGTTTAATATGCAGCGAGCTCCAAGGAACGGCTTTTCCGAATCCACAGCCAACTTGGGATTATGTTTGGGTTGGGTTGCTCATTGAGTTGCTTGACCACACCGTCCTATTACTGCACCCACTCCCTCACTGGTGCCCAAACTCGCCGTCTCTCCGGCATTTATAGACTTGTCTTAGGCTCATTTATCCTGGTCGGCAAACCAAGCCGAGAACCCAAAAAGCCCCCCGGGCACTGTTTAGTGTGGAGGTCCTGTCCAGGATGCCGCCTGCATGTGGCCATTTGTTTAGGCCCTCTACGTGTGTGGTTGCGTCCAAATGTGTTCAATTAAGCGGTAATAAATTGTTCATTTGCTCATTGGTGCGCACGGCCATTACGAGAACAGCAGGATCAGGGGGAAAGGATCTACGGCCGATGGAGACATTGTCGTCACTGTAATATTTCATGGGGACCAGCAGCGTACATTGATGCATATCCTGCCATTAGCAAGCCTTTGCATAATACACAATTAATTTTGCACAAACTTGTTATTTTATTAATTGCTTTCGTTCGTTTATTTCTTATTTCCCCCGACCTCGCTCACAATGTGGTTAACCCGAACGTGGTATTGGTGTTAGCCTGGGTCGAAACAATGGCCCTGAATCGTCAATATATGTGACCTGGCTTTCTGACCAACGAGTCAGCCCAAAACGGTAGTGGTAACCATCTAGATTTCCCATTTTCCACTTGTGCAGACCAAAAAGACCAAAAGTGTGGCCAGGACCGCACTGACTTCACTTCAAATTATAAATGTTGTGGCTTCTGCTAACGAACGGAGTGCCAAAGCAGACATTTTCCTTGCCACCCAAAAAAACCCCAATCCCAACCCAGGATCTCTTTTGTTTTCTTGGGCCAAAGTCACACATGTTCACCAAGGAGTAAATGTGTCAAATGTGGCACATCCATGGAAAACCGAGAGACAATTGCCGCAATGCCAGTCAGATTCTTGTCGGCCGGAAGTTGTTGGCAAATGTAAAATTAACAATGGATTATGTTCGCATCTTACTTTTAAATGTCCCGCTGGTTTTTTATGGGAATTGAAAAGGACTAGATTGTGATGTTCCACATTAATTATTTTGCTTAAATTACTAGGAATAATATCTTTCAAATGTTTTTGAATAATTTGAATTTTTTAAAGTATCTGTTTGGGCCAAAAATTGTCAGGAAATCAGAAAAACGACTTTTGTTAGAATTTGACCTTTACCAAGGTGCTTTTCATCATAACTCGGTTAAAAATGGTCATATAGCGAAAAGAACAGCTGTTTTGTAGAGCTGATTACCAATGCTAACGATCCCCATCACTTTTTTGAGGATTTTTGAAAATTAATTTTTGGGTCAATTTTTGAATTTTTTATAAGGGCTAACATCGTCAAAAATTGCAAAAAATGACAAATTTTTTTTTTTTTTAAACTTAAATGCAGGTTTATTGGGGACATAATTCCGAGCTAAACAAGGTATTACACTTCACATTCTGACCATTTTTGGTGTTGTTATGCCAAAAAACCTTGCTTTTCAACAACTTGGGCCATTTAACTGTGTGTAGTATAACCAAAGTTAACTATCCGTTTTACGTAAGGACTCACTAAAATTGGGATATATAATTTGTAATCAGGCAATGAGCAACGCCAGCGAGGGCTCGACTTTGAGTGCGATGTCCCTTCGTGGCTTCCATATGCAAATGTGTCTACTCGGGAGGAACAACAGCAGCGTAAACAGGACCAAAATCAATTCCCCTTGTCCCACCCAAGGTGCAATATTTCCGAAGCAAAGTCAAACGAAATTAGTTTGCTGCTCATAAAACTTTTCCACGAAGTTTCCGCTGCCCACATACCACACCCACTCCCACACCCACACCCACACGCACACCCACTACGATCCTGAGAGTCCAGGTAAACTTTTGGGGGTATGTGTGCATATAATAACTTTGGTCTGCCGCCGGTGGGTGGAAGTGTTTGGGGGATATGGTGGGTGGGAGCAGCTACCGGAAATCTTGTTACCCTACATGGCTCTTCACCTAGGAGCCAAGACTTGAGACATGAAAAGTTTGGCGCGGCCGGCTGGCCAGTGGGTCCCAGAGCTTTAATTGTATTTCAAGTTGCAGGTTGTACTTGTCTGTTCCGCCCCAATTCGGCCATTTTTTCCACCCGCGCCTTCAATTTCCATGCGTGATAAATGGCAAAAATGGAAAATTCGTTCGTTTGCTTTTGACCCGCTTGGTTCGCTTTTAGCACTGCGTTTCGATGTCCGCGGTGGAAGCAACATTTCAGGGCTTTTGTCTTTCAATTTGGCCCGAAAATCCCTTTTGGCCAGTTGTGGCGGAATTTAACGCTCCCACCCGCCAGATTTCTTCTTCAATTGTAAGTGCTCTGTTTGCATTTCCATGGCATAGTTTTGCTGGGCAACGCACATAGCTGGACTTAGTATCTATTTGGCTGGATATTTGCGTACAGTCAAAACTACCTAAGTAAAAACTGCAATCACTTGAACCTGAAGTGGCAAGGATTAGCCACTATCTTTATTTTTCAATGTAAAGAGTGCGCTCTTTATATTAATATTTAAGTTTATCCTTAGATTATGTAGTAGATTGGCTGTCTTTATGGGTCTTACGAAGGATGTTTCACTGAGACGCGCTGTATAATTGGGCTAACGTGCTCTGGTGGAGTATCTCATTCTGTTTACATGGTCCCACCCCGTCTAAACTGTATTGTTGAAATCTGAAAAGATTTAATTTATTTCAAGTGAGAGCGAAAAAAGACTTCACTTCGGTGGGATTAGACTTGGGTTTGATGCGCTGCTACCGATTCGCTTTCGAATTGCATTTATTCAAACGTTTCAATTGCTTTCCGTCGGATTCAATCTTCAAGTGATTTATTGTGTTTCCCAGAATGGCGAAGGAGGAAGAAGGAGCCGTGGGTGGTGTGGATGGTAAGGATGGTGTGGGAACTGGGGACTTGGATGGGAATCGTGATTGCGTTTGCCTAGGCATAACAATTATCCACTGTTTATTTACGGCAAATCAATAATTAAGTTGTGAGCGAAGCCATGAATTAGAAGCATTATAAATTCGAGTCTATACATTAACTGTAAACAGTTCTATAACTATGTCATTACTTCGCATAACAAATGCAGCGTGTTCCTTGAGCAGAAGCCTATAAAGGAATTCCAGCCATAACTTTTTCGATTATTGCCAAGTCGGAAAATGAAGTTCATGAAGTACGCAGTTCTATTTTACACTTCCGTGGGCATTGAGCCGTATACGATTGACTCTCGGCCCAAAAAATTCCGTCTGTGGTCATATCTTCTCTTTTGGGCCAATGTGATCAATTTGAGTTTCGTTGTTTTGGGAGAGATCCTGTATCTGGGAGTCGCTCTTTTCGATGGAAGGTTCATCGATGCCGTCACTGTAATGTCGTACATTGGATTCGTGATAGTGGGCATGAGCAAAATGTTCTTCATTTGGTGGAAGAAGGCCGATCTAAGCAAGTTGGTCAAGGAATTGGAGCACATCTATCCAACTGGTAAAGCTGAGGAGGAAGAATATCGGTTGGATAGCTACCTGCGATCTTGTTCACGGATTAGCATTACCTATGCACTACTCTATTCTGTGCTCATCTGGACATTCAACTTGTTCAGTATCATGCAGTTCCTCGTATACGAAAAGTGGCTCAAAATCCGAGTGGTCGGTCAAACGTTACCATACTTGATGTACCTTCCCTGGAATGGGCAGGAAAACTGGTCGTATTATGTGCTGCTGTTCCTTCAAAACTTCGCAGGATATTCTTCGGCGACGGGACAGATCTCAACGGATCTTCTGCTCTGTGCTTTGGCCACCCAGGTGGTCATGCATTTTGATTATTTGGCCAGGTTGGTGGAAAACCAAGAGCTGGATGACGATTGGAACAGAAACTCAAGGTTTCTTGCAAGAGCTGTACAATATCATCAGCGAATACTTCGACTAATGGACGTTCTCAACGATATATTCGGGATACCACTACTGCTTAACTTTATGGTCTCCACATTTGTCATCTGCTTCGTGGGATTCCAAATGACCGTGGGTGTCCCGCCGGATATCATGCTAAAGCTCTCCTTGTTCCTCTTCTCGTCCTTGTCGCAGGTGTACTTGATATGCCACTATGGCCAGATGATTGCCGATGCGGTAGGAGCTCTTAGCGTAATGTAAATTAGAAATAAATATATAACTTACATCTTTTTAGAGCTCTAGCTTATCGATCTCTGCCTATAAGCAGAATTGGCATAATGCTGACATCCGATATCGTCGCGCTCTAGTATTCTTTATAGCTCGACCTCAAAGGACATCCTATCTACAGGCCACTATATACATGAATGTAACGAAGTCCACTATGACAAGCGTAAGAAACAATATTATATATTATTAGGCCTAATAACTAAATATTATATTCATGTTTTCAGCTTCTGCAGGTATCCTACAAATTTTTCGCTCTCCTTCGTACCATGTATATCAAGTAGATATCTGTTCGTAGTTTACTAGCGATTAAAGTTGAGTAAACAATAAATTTTCTTATTGATCTGCAAAATTTAAGGTTTTTTAATGAACATTTTTGGAGTAGGGGTAGGATTGCCATCATTATAAGTTGACGTGCTCATCGTAATTAGTATCACTTGGAAAACCTTTGGTCTGGAATCGCTGCAGCTGTTAAATGTACAAAGCACGCGAAAGGATTCGCTAGTACCTAAGCATTATCTTCAAAGGTGCTTAGTTATTATTTTCTTATATAATATTTACCGCATTTCTAATCGCACGAGAGCGTTTTTGCACATGGCTATAAAACCCCAGGATGTTTCTAAGGACACTCATTCAGACAGGACGATTTTCTGGCTCGGTTCGGACCAACTTAAGGATGGAGAAGTTAATGAATTACGCCAGTTTTTTCTACACAGTAGTGGGTATACGGCCCTATACCGATGGTGAAGAGTCAAAAATGGACAGACTTAGATATCGCATTGTTTTTTGGTCGAATGTGATCAACGTGTGCTTCGTTGGATTATGTGAGAGCATCTACGTCTACAGCGCCTTCAAGGATAATCAGATCCTGGAAGCTGTCACTGTGATGTCCTACATTGGCTTCATCATTGTAGGCATGAGCAAGATGTTCTTCATCCGGTGGAAGAAGTCGGCTATAACTGAACTGATAAATGAATTGAAAGATATCTATCCGAGGGGTTCAATCCAAGCGGAAAGATACAACCTGCCCATGTACCTGGGCACCTGCTCCAGAATCAGCCTTACTTATTCCTTGCTCTACTCTGTTCTCATCTGGACATTTAACTTGTTTTGCATAATGGAGTATTGGGTCTATGACAAGTGGCTGAGCATCCGGGAGGTGGGCAAACAGTTGCCGTACCTCATGTACATTCCTTGGCAATGGCAGGATAGCTGGTCGTATTACCCACTCTTATTCTCACAGAATTTTGCAGGATGTACTTCTGCAGCGGGTCAGATCTCAACCGATCTTCTGCTATGCGCTGTAGCCAGTCAGTTGGTAATGCACTTCGACTTTCTTTCAACTAGTATGGAACGCCACGAAGTGAGTGGGGATTGGAAGACGGACTCCCGATTCTTGGTGGATATTGTGAAGTATCACGAACGTATCCTCCGCCTCTCAAATACAGTAAACGATATATTCGGAATTCCCCTACTACTCAACTTCATGGTGTCGTCCTTTGTCATCTGCTTTGTGGGCTTCCAGATGACTGTTGGAGTTCCGCCGGATATAGTTGTGAAGCTTTTCCTCTTCCTCATCTCCTCGATGAGTCAAGTCTATTTGATTTGCCATTATGGTCAACTGGTGGCCGATGCCGTAAGTTCACCTTTATGGAGCTTCCTTGATTTAAAGTTCTTTGTGTTTCTAGAGCCACGGATTTTCGGTTGCGACATACAATCAGAAGTGGTATAACGCCGATGTGCGCTATAAACGAGCCTTGGTTATTATAATAGCCAGATCGCAGAAGGTCATTTTTCTAAAGGCCACCATATTTTTGGATATTACCAGGACCACAATGACAGACGTACGCAACTAAGTATAGTCAGCGAGTTTGAGTTTAAAGGTTTTATTTCTTCTAGCTGCTTCAAATATCATACAAGTTCTTTGCACTGCTGCGCACCATGTATACCCAATAGGGATGACCAGAGAAGATCCCCAATTCCTAATCCCGTATCTATGTGCCTCGTACAATGCTTTCAAAGGCTCAACGCGAACTTAATTATGCGGAGGCACGAGCTCCACGCATGTCCATCGCTTCTTCGACACAGGCAAAAAACGTAGTAATCTTTTTGGCGCAGCGAGCTGCCACTGAAAAGGCAGTTGTACGGCTCCGCTGGAGAGCGAGAAAATATGTTGCTACAAAAGAAAATTGCAGAGTACATTTTACACTTCACTGCACACAAGTTGCGCTTATGAGTTTTCACTGCTCGTTATGCTCTATATTGAAGGCGGCTTGATTTCCTTTCAAATTGAATAATGAAAGCTGGGCTCATTTTGAAATACTATAAAGATGCAGCACCACAGATGGCGAGAAATGAACGATAACCAGATGCTATTTAAATATACTGCACTTTTATATTTGTTATAATTTTTCGCTTAGGGTGTGCAATGCTTCTATATTAAATTCAGCCTGGCTTACTATTGGTATACGGATATTTTTTACAGCTTCGAGTTTGGCGAAAAGTGGAGAAAAGTGTTGCGAGAAAATGAGAAAAGCAGAAAGGGGAAAGCTGCTTGCGAAGGCAGTGGACAACAAGACCGTTTGATGGCATCTAATGCAGTTTTCCCATGATGTGTGGCTGTGTGTACGCACTCAACAATATTAGCAATTTATGCATTGGAGCGTGTCCTGTGCAAAAATGAATGACGAGGGCGGGGGACAGGATGTGGGAGTTTCTCGCATAATATTTTCATTTTGACGGAATCCGACAGCACCTGCATAGTTATTGTTTGAGAAGGCCGTGTGCATAAAATTTATGAAAACGTATTTTTTTGGTCAGCAAATCCAGTTCAAAACGAAGCGAAGACCCTGTCAATTTCCCTTGCCTAAAATACGACATATTTTTTATGTGCCAGGTTTACTTTCTTACTTTTTTTCTGCTTTTTTCCAGCCCTATGTGTGCTTTGGCTCTTTTGGGGGATTTATTTTTCATTTGAAATTTTTACAAAGCTCCCAATGTGCTACAATTTAATTTCTGGTCACGTTCTGGGCGATTTCCAAATAGCAACAGTTACAGCAAGGAGCGCAGTAAATGAGGTTGAAAAAGTCTTTCAATATCTCACGCTGTCATATTGCATAATTTAAGTCGCCCCAAACATGGTCACGTTTATTATCATGTTTATATGTGTCCGCCTATCTGTCCATCCCACGTCCGAGCCCAGGATGAAGATCATATCGGGTGAAGTCAATTACTGATACTGTCATGGTTATCCTGGCGCCACGCAAATCGTCCAAGGACCGACAAACATTGCCAATTAGCATGAAACTGTGGCGAACCGAAGAACAATTAAACAAAATCGTATTATAAATCAATAACAAATTAGCTAATAGCCTAACAACGTAACTAAGTTCAGTGTAGATGATAAGTGCCGTGTTTTCGGTTATTCAGAATTACTGTGATGCGTTTGTGGTCGATGTATACCGATAACTAAATATTATATGTGCATGCATTGTATAGCTCTTAATTGAAAAATAATTGAATAATAACAAAACGCTATTATAATGTCATTAAAAATGTGCCTGTTTTTACAACTTTTTTATCACTTCCACTCATTTATTACTTTGATTCTAAGCGTTATAGTTGATGCCAAAGGGGATTGTATTCAATGGAACTTCATCCTTCGAGAAGAGTACTATTTTGTATCATGCAAGGTATAGTTTTACATACACAACAGGAACTGTTTGTTGAGCTTTCAATTCATTAGCCAAGGGCTTCGTGCTATGAAATAAAACAATTATCCCCTTACTTCATCATCATTATGAAGAGTTTCACTGTGATTTCTGTTTTATTACCTCCATTTTCCATTTTATAGGCCCTGAACAGCCGAATGGCTATCAACAGAAACATTTTTGTCATTTATGAACAAATATGAATTTACATTTTCCATGCGAATTGCATCGTGACCAGCAGAGCGAGACTGTAAAAAATCGCATCCTTTTTCGTACTGATGCCGCTTTCCACCCGCCCCCAATGGTTTTCCACCCACCGCCAGCGGTTGTTAAGTCCACTTATCAAAACGTGCAAATAACTCAACTCCCGGGATAGGGACAAACACGTGATGGCAACTGATGACCCAGTGGAGCGTGTTCAGTGGCCAATTGGCAAAAAATCGTTGGCATTGTTGCAGAAAAGCCGAGGTCAAAAAGAGGAGTATAAAAAATATGTGACCCAATGGCTGGACAAACTCGGGCAGTGTATTATTGTTGCCACACTGGCCGCTGTGTTTTTTTCAATTAGCTGCCATTAAATTGAATTCAAATATTGAAACAATATGTTGCCGAGCTGCCCCTGCCGCTATTCCTACAATTTTTTTTTCCTACTCTCGGGGGATTTTAGTTTCGGCTTAGCGCCAATCTAAGCTCCTCTGCGCACACCATTTGTGATTTATTGATTTTGAAAAGAGTTTTTCTTGTCAAAAATTGACTGGGGCTCAAACGCTTGTATGTCCACAGAAAAAATGGTAAAATATTAAAAGATAGCCACACGAAAATTGCATAAAAATAGTTTAGGTTTTTATTTAGTTTTCGCATCAAAGGCATCATGCTTTTTGGCGTTGCCTGAATGTGTGAAAACCCACACGTTCATACTTATATGGAGAATATTTTTCATAGCCGAATGTATAAATGAAATCGCTCTAAATGGGGACTAAAAGCCTCTAAATTAGTTTTCCAGCATTATTACTCATACGCAGTGGGGCCGCACCGATATTTTTATGGCCTTGCATTAGGCAAATGGTATGGCATTTTAGTCCATGAATACGGGTCGGAGTGAAAGACTTTCCCCAGCCCGGATTTTCCGGAAAGAGACCGCATTTGCTAATGGTTTCACTTCTTTGTAGCTGCTATTTTGAGCTATGATTGCCGATGATTTAGCGCTGGCTTATTGATTTCTTATAGGCCATTAATAGTGCGTTGTCCTGACCAGCTAATAGCATTCATGCTCGAAACGATTTGTCAGGGTGGCGACATTGGACGTCTGCCTTTATCCGGATAATTGTGACAGAAATGCGAGCGATAGTCGGAATCCATACAAAAGTTATACGCACCAATCACTAAAACTTATCAAATGCGAAAATGAGCGTATAGCAATGCTACAGTGGGCGTAAGCAGAGCTTAGGCTCTAAGTAGGCTGCTGAGCCACGCACAAAGCGGCCACAAGGACGCGCTGAGATAAGCGAGGGGATTTCATTTGCTCATTACTCAACAGCTTACAAGGAGCGGCGATGAGCCTTTCTGCAGAAAGGAAGTAATAAGAGTGCGGCGGCGAGCACATAAGAAATGCATGTGCACATAATTCATTTTTTATGCCGGATTACAGCAGCAACAAAAATGACGGCTGCCTACGAGGCGCACCTACACACCCACACACCTACACACCGGCAAACCGCATCACTTACGCTCCCACTCACACCACCATCTCGAAAGTTGCGAGACGAACATTTAGAGAGAGTGTGCGTGTGTGTGTGGGTGGAATGGGCGCTTGTCATCGTCCGCAGCGCGAGCAGCGGAAACGGAAGCGACATCCAAGTTTATGTTAAAGTTTGATGCAAAACTCCCAAACTCGCACACCTTTACACTGGCTTGTGTTTTAATGACTTCTATTGTTTCACAATTGATATCCAGAAGAGTGAAAAACATACAACTTTCCTTCGACCGTAATTTCAAGTATTTAACAGAATTCGTTAATTGAAGAAATGAAATGTTTAATTTTTAATTTTTGTATATGGATTTGAAGGAGATTTCCCGCAGTGTAAGTAGCTTGATATATGTGCTCGGAAAAGTTTCGCTCCGCTCGCTCCTCCTGTTGACTTTTGTGGCTCCTGTAAGTGTTGAGACTTGCGGTGGTGTCCGTTGCACGGCAGCGAGTGCGTGTGCGTGTGTGTGTGTGAGTGTGAGTGTGTTGCAGGTGAAAAGGAAATTAAATCAGCCTCGTGTGGCATGCACATCATTAGTATGTATAGAGGCGCCTCAGGAAAGGCCTGATGATTATGATTGCAGCTACTGCTCTCCCTTTGCTGGCGGTGCGGCATAAGACTGCGACACCTTTCTTGCAGCCAGAGCAAATTGAGTTTGCATTAAAGTGGCAACGGCTTGATTAGTCGTTGCATACCAAATTGACTTCTTCCCTGCGACTGTGCAGCTCCGAAGGACTCGCACATCGCCCCACTTGCCAGCTGACCAAACAGCAAACAGCAAATGTCAAGCGAAAGCTCTTTCATCGGCATCCAGTTCGAAGGCTCTTTGTCTGTTTGTTTGTCGGCTCAATGTGTTGCAAGTGGACAGGAGCTGCTCGTCCTGCTGCAGCTGGTCTATTTGCACACTGATGCATTTGTCGCCTAAGCTCCTCCTTATGACATTTATTTTTATTGACTTCACTGCAGGCGGAGACATCGGACGCAACTCCATCGAATTCCTTTGCCCCAACTCTAAACTGTTTGTCTGTGGCGCCGTAAGAGGCTTGGCCGAAGGCTTTAAAGCGAGCTCCTCCCTCCGATGGCCAGGCCATTGTTTTCAGCCAAAGAACGCCATCTGTGCACGGTGAGAAAATCAGCGTTCATGGGTAATTCAATCATTATAGAAGCACAGAATCAAAGGTCAAGAGCCCTGATGGTAAAGGTGTTCAATAGAATGCAACAACTTGACAGTCAGTTGGCTTCATTATAGAATGCACCACTAAGACACTATGTAAGATTTTATATAGATATTTGCTGAAAACCGTGAACTTTTGTTCTCTATGTAGCCCGGCGACTGCTATCAATGCTTTTGATATGAAAAATGTTCGTATTTGTGCAGGAAAATTCATAATTCAGTGGCAGAGATACAGGAGTGCGTGCCTCCTTCGTCCGCTGCTCGTTTCGCTTCCCTCTTTGTGTCCTGGTTATTTATGCATTTAACGAGCCAAAGGACCCCGGCCAACGGAAATGAGTGGAACTTATTGCCTGGTGTACGGGAATGCAGG